AAAAAGAAAAAGAAAATAAAAAAAATAAAGAGAAGAAAGAGAAGAAGAAGAAACAAGAAAAAACACCAAACATCACGTACGAGAAAAACGAATCCGACTACCATGGAAACATCATAGCCCGAGGCGCCCGCCGTCCCCCAACACTCACACCCCACCCCCCGGGGGAAAGGGCCCTACCTCAGGACGATCCCGCCGGCGGAGGCTGCGGGGCAGGCGGCGCGGACCGTGCCGGGCGGAGCGGCCGAGCAGTCCGACGGCGAGGCGGCTACCGCAGTGCCCTCCGCCCCATTGTTTCCCTTCCAGAGAGGATCCCGGCGAAGCCGAGCCCGGGAACCAAGAAGTTCCCCGGCGCGACACCTCCTGCCGCCGCTAAGGAAACGGCCCCCGCCTCCCAGGGCGGCTCGCCCGGGACCCCGCCTCCGCGCCGCCGGCCCCGCCCGCCTCACCGGCCGCCGCCAACCGTCGCCGCGGCCGCCGCGGCCGCCGCCATCTTGGCGCGGCCCGGGCAGCCTCTTCCCGGCGGCACGTGCGCGCCGCTCCCGCGCTCCCGCCGTGCGCGCCCCCGCCCGCCGCGGGATCGCGCGTCTGGGAGCGCAGGTGGAGCCCCCTGACCCTTGTCGGGGCTGGGGAGAGAAAGCGCGCCGGGTTTCTGGCCTCCGCGAGTCGGATCGACCTGGGGCGGCCGGCCACCGGGGCGGGAGGAAGGGTGATGAAAGCCAGACCCAGTCATGCTTCCCAGCTGGCCTGGAGACCGTGCACTGGGTGTTCAGTTCTCCCTTGGCTCGGCGGGTTTAGCGAGATGGGGTTGGTGTCGGGAGCAGGCCGGTGCTCGTGGCAACTGCAGAACGATCTGTTACCGAGAACCGGTCTGCGGAGCCGCGGCGCCAACCCCGGACCCTGCCCGGGAACTTCCCATCCGCACTCCTCCCAGCAGGCTGTGGCTGGAAACTTGCTCCATCTTTCCCTAGGTCAGCTTCCCTTTTCTATGTCGTGGAAATTCAAGAGTTTGAATCTCCACAGTCTTCCATTAAGGCGGCCTATAGATGAGTGGTAGAAACTTTCCAACACTTGCAATGAGCTGACGTGACACGGGTTATTCAGAGACGCTATGGAAGTTAGCTGTACGATAACTAATGGCTTCCTGTCCTTGTGTCCAGAAACTAGGATTCTC